TCGATGTCGGGATTGAGAGGGGGCGGAATAGGTGGAAGAAAAGCGGCCATTGCCGCGGGAGTCGTCGGCGCATCTTCCTCCTGGAAGTGGTGTTGGACGAACGAGGGATAGAGGAAGGCCCCCACACATGAGACAGGAGACGTGGCGCCAGATCTGCCACCGCTCGCACCACCCGCTTGCGCACCGATCGGGGCCCTGGACCCGTCATCACCACATGAGTCTCGGTGTAAGGCCGCCGCTCCCGCTTCTGCGCCGCGAAGACCAGGAAGTGGTACATCGCATTGGGACGCTGCCCGGTCTCGTAGATGAGCGTCCCAATCAGTTGCGCCACAATACACCCTTGAAAAGGGGGTGTCAGATATGGCTCCCAGGCCGGATCAGGGCGCGGCGCCCCCGCGATGGCCTCGAGCCTGATGGTGGCGGGCTCCTATGCTCTTTCGAATGATAGTCCATATAGTAGATGTATAAATCAATGAAAAAGGAGCAGTACGGCTTCCTCCTCCGGCTGCTGCTGCTGATGATGGCCCGACTCCATCAAGATTGAGATCGGGCACACGCGGAAAGGGCGGCGATGGCACGACAGTCTCCTTAACGAGCGTCGCCGCACTCCCAGGCACGGGGTCAGGATTCCGCGTACGCGCGGGCTGAATCACCTCCTCGCCGCCGCCGATCCTGCTGCCTTGCGCTCCTGGCGATGGGTGGCGTCTCTTCCTCTTCGGCGTCTTCTTGGGGGCCTTCGGTGGCGCCGGTCAAAGATACGACGAGGGAGGTCGCAACGGCTTTTCCTCCGGGAAGTCCTCCAACCTCTCCGCACGCTGCGCAATGTAATCCAGGATGACAACCACGTTGTACGTTCTCCGCGGGGCCGTCACCGTCCGCAATCGTGGTTGGATCTCCTCCTCCTCGCTCGCAATCACTTGCGCAATGGAGAGGAGCTCAAGATGTATGAGCTCCAACAATCCCGGATCGATCGTCTGGAGCTGGGCGAATGGGTACAGCGCCACTGTCCCTTCCTTCTCCGCTGGCTTGGGTCGTGTGATGACGTAGTAGATGACGAAGTGCTCCGCGATGCAGTGGTCTTCGTGATCCACGAAGAACCGGAACATCCCCAGCGCCACCGACTTGTACAGCTCACAGTGCAACTCCCACGCGTCTTCGTCGGCGAAGGGCAGTGGCTCCACGTCAGTAAGCTCCACCAAATACTCCGAGAACTTGCGCATGGGATAAGGGCCCTCCTTGAGCTGATAGGGGTGGGTGGTGTAAGAGAAGAAGGGAGGCATTTAGTACGGGACAGGGGGAATGGCTTGGAAGTTGAGAGGAACAGCGGGAGGAAGAAGCGCGGGGAGCTGTGGCACCAACGCAATTGGTCCGTCCTCTGCCCTGCGCAGCAGCACTTCGTGGGCTGTGAATCGATGTCCCCCCTGTCCTTGCAATCTGGCCACTGATCTGGCCGCTTCCACTGCGTATTCGCGCACAAAGCTTCGCGCCGGCTCCCTATTCGGCTGCGGTAGGATCGTCAACTCTCCGATAAAGGTGGCGACGCTGTGCACGAAGTTGGGTGCCAACTGGAGCGCACGGAACTCAATGAAGACTCGGGTCGTCTCCCGACCAGGCAACTGCGTCACATCCACGTACACCCCTGCATACGTCAACCGATCGCAAAGCAACGAGTACGCCGCCAAATCAACAACCCCGGGCGCTGGCACGTTCACCTATTGAATGTCGTATCGCAACTGCCTTTCCTCATTGAACCGATGCCGCAACAAGCGATCTGCAAGCGGCGTCTGGAAATGCTCGAGGGGCTCGTGCTCCGGCTGGCGATGGTTCATCCTGCTCCCTGAAACTCTCAACACCAATGGACGAGGCAGATTGGGAAGAGGAGGAGGATGAAGAAGGAGAGGGTGATCTCGCCGGAGCGGGGGTCCGTAGGGGACCTAGCGATGGCTGGAAGGGCCGGAGCGCGGCAGCGTGCTGTGTCAGCGGTCGGGCCTGGGAGTTGTGACGGGGAATCAGCTTCACGGAGTGCTGTACCTGTACGCCAACTTCCGTGACCTCGTAAATGCCTGTGTAGCGCGGGTGGATCTTGGAGGAGCGCGCAGATTTCCGTACCTGCACCAAGTCCCCAACTTTATAGCGGGGCAGTGGTCCCGCCGACGGGTGTCGATTCTCGTAGTCACGGATCTGCCGTTGATGTGTCCGATCTACGGCCTGCTGTCCACGGTGAGCTAACGGGGGATAGGCCCTAGCCATTAAGTCCATGTAGTGGCAGGCCTTATCTCGGTTCTGGGCCCGTGTTGCTCTAACTTTCGTACCTACTAAGGGGGGACAATTGCACCCGAGGGACACTATTGGTTCTTAGTTGAAAGGGGGACACCCCAGTACTACCCTGTGGGGTAGCTCGATAAACGACCAAGATGAGGTCGACAATGACCGGCCAGGGCCGGGTGTCTCCCGCGGTGATATTCCGTCTAAGGGCGGTCTTAATCAGTTGGTTGGCATTCTCTACCAGGCCATTGGCTTGAGGCCAATGCCCCGGCAAGTAGATAATCTTAACGTCCGCCCTGACTAGGTGACGTTCTACTTCGCCGTCAAATTCCGACCCATTGTCCATGTGTACCTCTTCTACGTCTAGATGCATGCACAGAAATCGATTTACGTACCAGGCTACTTCCTGCGAATTCCGGCTTGTCATAGGGTACGCCTCTATCCATTTCGAAAAATGATCGACGGCCACTAAAAGAACATTGAGCTCTCCCTAAGCGACGGGACCTCTCAGAACATTGATATCCGTCGTGTCGATGCTAACCCTCTGAAAGGGGCGCTCTACCCGAGTGGGCACCATCGTCCGAGGCATCTGTACCGGCGCCTTGTCCGCCGCGCAGGCCGGGCAATTCTGGACGGTGTATTTCACATCTTCCCGAATCCCCGACCAGTACCATCCATTCTTTTCGATGGTTTTTTCCGTGTACTTGACCGCGAAATGGACCGCATCCTCCTCATGAGCGGCTCGTGTCCAATCGAACCTAGCGAAAGGGTGCGGAACCGTCAACCAGCTAGACCCTCCATCATCATCGGCTTTTCGTTTTTGTAACATCGGTCCTTGCCAGCGATAGTCCTGCGCTCGCTCCGTGACTCTCCGCCGCTCGACTTTGGTAAGTTCTGACAGCGAGTCGCCTGGCAGCCTCCGTACAAACAGAAGGTCCGTCCAGACTTCCGCTCGGCGGACACTTGGCGCAAATCCGTCGGCTGTTCGTGCATCCAGATACCGTTTCTCGGTAGGGACTTGGTCCGTTCTACAGTTGGGACAGACCCACGTCTTTTCACTTCGGTACCTAACGCATTGTCCGTGGGACTTGACCGCTTGAAACTGACTACACTGCACCCACAAAAGAAAACTGGGCCCTCCCGGATGTGACCCTTCTTGGTCCGGGACCATGGTCAAGGTACATAAAAAACAGGGACTTAGATGTCTTTCAGGGGACGAGTAGGGACTAGACGAGAGAGCGAGGGAGTTGGATGAGGGCAAAGAGATAGTGTCTGCCATCTCCGGTGAAACCTCCATTCCGGACTCAGGCGTCGTTCTTGCGCAACACATGTAGCTCCCCGTAGTGCGGTTTCGTCGCCGCGACTTCTGACCTCCACGGAATGAGTCGCTCGTTGGCGGGACACTTGTTGGGCGGCAGGAGGCGCGTCAGTCCATCGGCGTTACCATGCTGCCGCGTGACACGGTGGCGGATGTCGAAGTCATACTCTTGCAGACGCACCGCCCACCTGCCCAGCGTCCCCGTGTAGTCCGTGTTGTTGCGTAGGGACAGGAGCGGCTGATGATCCGTTACGAGCACGAATTTCTGGCCGTAAAGATACGGTCGGAAATGCTGGATCCCCCACACCACCACCAGGCATTCGCCTTTGCATGCTTCGTAATTAGCCTGCGCCTGGCTCAGCGTCTTGGACGCATACTCAATGACGTGTTCCCTTCCGTCCGCCCCGTGCCGAGTCAGCACCGCCGATATCGCCTGAGGCTGCCAGTCGGTGTACAGTGCGAACGGTCTTGTCGGGTCGGGACGCGCCAACACAGGAGCAGATGTCAGAGCTTCCTTAAACGCCTGAAACGCCGCTTTGCATTCGGGCGTCCAGATCAATTGTTCCTCTTTCTTCAGCAGGTTCGTGAGGGGCTTCGCTATACCGACGAACCCCTTGATGAAGCGTCGGTAATAGGATGCCAACCCTAGAAAAGCCCGAACCTGGGTGAGTGTGATCGGCGCCGGGGCTTCTTGAACTGCTGCCACCTTCATCGGATCCGGTTTTAGTCCATCGACCGTGACGATGTACCCCAAGAATAAGATCTCCGACAAGAAGAACTCGCTTTTCTCTAAGGCCACTTTGAACCCCGCATCCTTTAGTGCATGCAAAACCCACTCAATATGTTCTACGTGGTACTCATGTGTTTTTGAAAAGACCAAAATATCATCCATGTACACAATCACGCAGAAATTGATCAGGGGCTGGGTTAGTCGGGTTTTGTTAACGAACTCAGCGAAGGCCATATTCATGGCCCGCTGAAATGTTGCAGGGCCGTTACAAATCCCATGGGACACTGAACCCATTGCCACGTGCCCTCAAATAGGACAAAAATGGTTTTGGGTCGGTCCTCCGGTCGGACTGCGACATGGTGAAAACCGTGTCGGATATCGAACTTGGAAAAGACTCGCGCGGCCCCGATAGCATCTAACAAATCGTCGATTCGCGGCAAGGGATACACATCTTTGGTTGTGATTGCGTTCAATTTCCGGTAGTCGATACATACTTGGACCGAACCATTTTGTTTTGGCACGAGGACCACGGGAAAAGACCACGGTCCCAGCGATGGTTCGACCCACCCCAACCGCTCGAATTCCCGTACCCTTTCCAACGCCAGCNAACGCCAGCTGTCTTTCTTTAAGGGAATATCGGTATGGTCGGCAATGTATCGGGGCGTGATCCCCGGTATCAATCGCGTGCTGTATCAAAGGGGTTAGCCCTATGTCGTGGTCCTGAATACTGACGGCCTCAGGATAGGCCCGTATAACCGCCAGGAGGAGGCGTCTGTATTCATCCGGAACACGGGCTGGTAACTGAACTTCTACGGTTCCCCTAGGAAGGGAAACCGTCGTCGTAACCATGGGGACCGCCGCGCTGGCATCGGGCGAGGCCCCAAACAAAGAGTTGTCGGTTTTCACCGAAAGGACAGTCGCAATAAGTTGACTGTCCGTCGGACTCACCGGCTCGCTTTCCATGTCACTGTCACTGTCCAGTTCGGGTTCGGCCGAGGGTTCTACCGAAAAGGCCTACGTCAGTTCCCTCGGTCCCCACCGATATTCCCTTGTTCGGGGTTGAAACGACACCCCCTCTTTCAGGAGTATCGCGGCTTTTTCATTCATGAGTAGGGGCCGTGGAGGTCGAAAAGATAAATCGCACAGTCCCCTTAGCTAAGTAAATCTTTCAGGTAGGGGGTCCGTTCGGAGATACAAGGACACAAGGGGTTCCGAAAGGTCAGCTATTCGGGACACCCTCGGCAGGGGTTCCCCCTGCACCACGGAGGAGAACGCGTGCGACCAATTGGACTCGCTCCGAACTATTTCCAGTGGTTCTCGCCGCCAAGAATGGCGCCACTGATCCTGAACTCGGATCAGATATCGGTCGGGTACATCAGTCTCATCAGTTTTCGTCGAGGATTCATTTTCGTCCGGTGCCAGGCGTCGGATCATGTTGATTTGATGGGCTTTCGTGGTGAGTCGAGGCGCCGGCCGGGTGCGCATGCGCACCGCCACTCTCATTGGTATCGTTTGGGGTTTGGGGTGGGCCGATGTGAGCACCACCTTACAGCTGTCAAAGTGCATTCGCGCTCCGACCGCCGCCTGCCACGGAATGCCTAGCAGGACATCATACGCCTGTACATCCAGCACGATTACGTCGCACAAACAACGCACCCGCCCCACCCGTATAGGCACGTTCGTTATTCGCCCTTTACAATGAATATTGTCTTCCGTAGCAGATATATACAGTTCATCCGGTCGGAGGGGCTGAACCTGTCCTTCCCTTCCCAACTGTTTCGTCAATCTCCAAGAAATGGCGACCGCTGACGATCCCGAGTCTAGGATGGCGGCCGAGGGATTTCCCCAGACCTCGCAGTCACACTCAATGCTTTTCCAGGTTATTGGATAGGATCGGAGGAATACCTCGGGTTTTTTCGAGGCAGAGTCTACGGTCTGGATCATTCCTATCCGATCGGCTACGTGCACTTTTGAAGTCGAGGGCTGCGACTCCTCGTTTGTGGGTAGGTCCCGTAGGACCGGTTGTTTGCCCTTTCGACTTTCCTCGAACCGGCGCCTGTTTTTGAGGCATCGTTCGATCAACTTTTCGTTAGCCGCTTTGGAAATGGTTAGCAGATAGGGAATAGGGACGGGGATCCGAAGATCCAAAGCCTTCAAGGTATCCAATACGTCGATATGGCCATCCTTGTATTCAGGACCAGGTGCCGTTAGGTCTTCGAACCCTGGTCGCCACGGCCCGAGGTCGCTTTCCTCGGTAATCCGTTGGACGTGACGTATCACTCCGATGGTCTCGGGTTCGAACATCGCCGCAACCATGTATTCATCGGGCCCTATCTCGGTGGCCGCAGGGGTCACCATTTCCGTTGCCCCGGTATCCATCACCGTGGCCACCCTCCCTTGTCCTGCAGCGGTTGGAGCAGCCAGCGGGATTTGGGAAGGCCCAGCGGGCCCACCCTGAGTTCGAGGTTTCAGACAATCTTTCGCAAGGTGACCTGGCTGATTACAGTTATAACAGCGTAGGGGCGGGACAGCCCCGGCCACTGCCGGTCTTATCATAGGGGCCCCGACGGCCATAGCCGCTTGTTGCCGTTGTGCGGCGGCTAGGCGTTGCCGCTGCAGGCCCTGAACGAACTCCGTCAGCGGGGCCACTACCATAACTAATTGGGCCGCGACCTCTTTTATGGACACTTTTTCCTCACCCCGGCCTCCTTGTGCTTGACTAGAGCGACCGGAGGTCGAAGCAGAGGAAGAAGCTTTCCGATCCACGCCTTTTTTTGTCGGACCCAACCCGAAGTGATCTTCGAACATTCGTGCCGTAGCGGAGTAGCCATTGCGTCGAACACCCGAAGGGTCATCTTCGTCGGATTCTGAGTCCAGGCCCACATCGTAATTTTGTTTCCCGTACTTAATTGCGTACTGGATTAACTCAGTCAGGGTATGTTCTATAGGGTTGCATTTCTTGCGGATCTTTTTCTGCAGACGAGAATTTGACAATCCTCTGACGAAATAAGTCCGTACCATTTTCTCGTCCACCCCGGAGCGCTCGGCTAGGTAGGTAAAACGTTCAGCATATCTAGCCAAGGTCTCCCGAGGCTGCTGCGTGTATTCCTTTATTAGACGGAGGCATTGACCTGGTGCGATGTGATAAAATCTGTCGAGAAATTTCCTCTGGAAGGCCAGCCAATTAGTGAAGGGGTTATGTCCATACCACTCAAAAGCGGTTCCGGCTAACCTTCCGGGGATTCGTTCTCGGAGCAACTGGTCCGACCAGCCCTGGGCTTTCAAGGCAGCTAGCCAGGTGCGAGGGTCGGTATCATATTCGGAGAAAATGGGAACTTCGGAAGGAGGAGGTACAAAGTACAGGGGATGATTGGCCATCCCCGCGTGGTTATCACCGTCGTTTTCAGCCCCAATTTCGGGTTCCACCATCGCAGGAGGCGGGTTTCGAGCCCGGCCTCTCGCTCGGTTCTGATTGCTATTCGCGGGCCGCCGGCGACGGGGAGCCAGCCTACTTAAAAATGAGAAAAATCTAAAAAGAAAGATCAAAGAAAGAAGGAAAGAAAACTATTAAGCAGGGTATTCGTCCTAGGAAAACCTCGGAGGCGAAACGAATCAACTCTGATACCAATCTCACGCCCCCTCGCGACTTCCCGTACTGGGTTGCCGATCAAAGTTCTAGGAGGGGCGTGGCCGAGGATTTTTGGCCGTAGGTGTTGAGTCTCCCGGACGGAACGGGAGGCTCTCGTTTCGTGCCAGAGGTTACCCCGGATTCGAACTGTCGTCGCGAAGTCCCGTGGGGTTCGGATCGCTTCGAAACGATAAAATCAGAAGGGTTTCTGCGAAAACGAACTGCTGTCGTGCATCAGGACGGGAAAAGGCCTCAAGGGGAGAGGGCCATGGTGGCGGGAGACAAAACTTCGGCCGTCAGGGGTTTGGGGGATAGGTGGTGGGTTCGAAGCCTTCAGGCCTCGTCATTGGCCTCACGAAGTGACCGAACCGTCGGGTCTTTGCTGTAGAGGTGATTGGTTCGAGGCCTTTAAGCCTCAGCGTCGGACTCCCAGAGTCCGCGCGGAAGGTTCCGGGAGGATAAAGCGGCGGGAGGACTCGCCGGCATCCGAATTCGAAATTGCGCGGGCAGCGCCCCCGCACTACGGGAAAGCTCGGGGAAACGTATTGCTCCCCTCGTAACCCAGGACCAGTCGTTGCCAAGAACACGAGTTCCCCTGGCGACACCAGCGACAATCAAACTGCGGCCGCCACGTGGCGTGAGCGGCCGACCAGGGTAGCACAGTCAAACCCGTATAAGGCAATATTAGAGTCAGGATCAAAACGCGCAATCAAGACAAACCCGTTCCCCCTTATATCACAAGCTCGAGGCGGGTCTCGCCAGCACACTTGCTCCGTTCGCCTCAGCGAGCGCCGTACGTCCGCATCGCAGTAGACGCTGTCGTCATCTATGATGGGGAAGGTCGGTAGCGAGATGAGACGATCGGAGGTAGGCGATGAACACGGGCAAGATCCCGCGCTCCCGGTCATCCGAACCAACATCGACTCCATACAACACTCGATGCAACCTTCTCTTTCAGGGTTAGTGCGTCGGAGGAAAATGGCGAAATCGAAGTTTTCTTCTCCTTGCGGGGGCGTCGACCGCGTGCGCGGACGCAGGCGGTTGACGTCACCGGTACGGGGACGAGAAGCTCAAAAAGGAAGGCGGGAGAGAGAGGGAGGGAGCTTACACTGAGAACGCGTGCGCGGGCGCGAAGGGCCGCGGAAGGGAGGGGAACAACGGGATTAACACACTCGTACTCCTAGGCAGACGGTTCCCGAGTTCAGTTTCCCCGTCCCCACCCAGACAAGTACATACACACATGCATGCAAACAATCAACAACCCTTGACAATACATCTAATCATCCATAGACCTTCGACATCACTCATGCGCACAACCAGCTCCCATCACTCGGGGCTTCACACACACGACATGCATAGACAAAGCAGCAATGGAGATAAAAGCGATTCCTTCTTGTACACAAAAAATTCAATTAACGGCCGCCCCCAGGCGCAGCCTTCGAACCTCCCAAGACCACCGACCACCATAGCCACAAGGCCCTGCCGCGGCCGGCGTCAAATCCCCACCACTGCTCAGTCCCTCCGACTGCGTCCTTCTGAGACTACCGCGGGTCCACCCCACGTCGTCACTCCGCCCGTCCTTGGGCTCGTCAAGCCTGTTCGGCGCCGCGGACTTTTGTGCATAGCTCGCGCAGCATTGCAGCCGAGATCAAAGAGAGGGAGAGGAGAGGGTTGCGCGAATTTATAGCGTGGGAGGCGGCGGGTTGTCAGCGCGAGGTGCGGGCAGCGCAGGGTGTAGATGAGCAGGACAGGAGAAAGGTGGGGAGTTAGGGGGTTCGACCCGCGGGGTTGCATGGTCCTACGTGATTGGGGTGTTCGTCCAAGTRGTGYGCGKTTTCCCGCTCTCCACATTGATCCGAGCATCCCAGCTACGCGGCCAATCACTTCGCGGAGAAGATGGGGCAAGGATCGAGCTGGGCAGAGGGGAAGATGAAGAGTCTGGCATGGGGGAAATGCCCGTAGCAAGAAGGGAAGATGGCGCGGGAATGCAAAGCAAGAAACGGGGGCGCGAGACGCGCGAAGAAGTCGGGGCTTAGGTGCGCACGCGCAAAAATTCAAAAAGTCCCCACCGAAACCGTTTCTTGGTTTGCATGCCGCGGCCGCTATTCGTCCGCGCGGGAATTATTAACCAAACAAAATGAAAAAGCCGTTTCGAAAAGAAAACAAAAGCAAAAAGAAAGAAAAACCCATGTTTGTCAGCATCCGTGCCTTGGGGCTTCCGGGGGGGTTTTCCTCAGGGATACGGCAAGCCGCGCGGTACGGATCGGAGCTTATCACAAGCGCGCAGTACCTGCCCCTCCTCAGGTCCCGCGCAGCAGCACCCTTTCGCATCATCACGCCTTACACTCCCATACAGCCCCTCCCTAAGTTCATCAAAGATTCCCTTCACTTTCCTCAGCACTACAACACAACCACCCAATTCCGCCATTACCTACTCTTTTTCAATCGCGCCCAGCCATTGAGATGGGAGATCTGCATGGAGCTCCTCCTCCCAACCACTGACCAGCTCCTTACCCTCCTCGAGAAGATCCGCCGATAGATTGTGTCGATGCTGGATAAGCGCAGTATAGATCTCCTCCATCTGTCGCTTATACAGCCGCACTATCTCCAGCGCGGCTCCCTCCTCTCCAAGCACGGCGGCAGCGATAGCATCTTGCATGGACGCCGCCTCCATCGCCATCTGCGCCGTCGATGTAGCCATAGATGAGGCCGCTATTTGTCGTTAGTCTTGCTGTTATTGTATCTTATTCTATTGTCGAAGCCACTCCCCAAACAACAGCGCCACGTCTTTACTCAAAGCTTGATTTCTTCACGCCGACGTGCTGTCCCCTAAAACTGCCACGTGGAAAGCCCACCTACGCCCAGGCTGAAGCACCGGACGGGCAGCAGGATGACCAAGCGCAGTGATGGCACAACATCACCATCCCTGCCCCAGTCCACGGAGTGCGGCCGGGCCTTGCCGGCTGTTCCGCAGCGGAGATTAGCGCTAGCAGCGCGGCTTTGTTTTAAAAGTCCATGGTGTTGTAGAGGCCAGTCACTCAGTGAGCAGTGATCACCTGGAGCAGTGGGCCATGGGTGTCCTGGAATATGAGACCACCTCCCCTCCCATCCTCACGTCAATACTCCTAGCGCACCCCCAATCCCACTATCCTTTTTTTTTTTGTTTTTTTGTTTTTTGTTTTAGAGAACAATCCCTGCAATGCTAGCGACGCTGATAAGAGCAGACGCCGCTAGCACCTGGGGACAGGCTCCATCTATTGGTGGGGAGCAGCACCTGCTGGAAAATGGGTCCAGCGTCCCTTCTGAA